TGGTTTCCTCTTGTACCCATTGGTTATTTAGAAATATGTAATTTAGCTTCCAAATATTTGGGTTTTCCCGAGATCTTTCTGATATTGATTTCTTTTTTTTCTGTTATTGACTTCTAATTTAATTCTTTTGTGGTCAGTAAGCCATTAATTTTATTGAGATTTTTTGGGGGGCCTAGAATATGGTCTATCTTGGTAAATATTCCACCTGCATTAGAAAAGAATGTCTATTCTGCTGTAGTTGGATGAAGTGTTCAATAAATGTCAAATTAGATCAAGTTGGCTGATACTTTTTATTTTTTTAATTTTTTAAAAAGATTTTTATTTATTTATTTGACAGAAAGAGACCACAGCAAGAGAGGGAACACAAGCAGGGGGAGTAGAAGAGGGAGAAGCAGCCCGATGCGGGGCTTCATCCCAGGACCCTGGGATCATGACCTGAGCCGAAGGCAGACGCTTAATGACTGAGCCATCCAGGCGCCCCTATTTCTTTTTAAATCTTTTTATCTGCAATGATTTTCTGCCTACTAGTTCTATCAATTATTGACATATTATTAATTTAAATGAAATGAAAAGGAAGACAGGTTTAGTTCATTAATCTCCCCTGGTGTCTTGTGTGAGTGAAGGTGTAAAGTTGCTCCCAGGAGTGACTTAGGACTCCTTAAAATTTGGTGAGGCCCTTTAAGGCAACCACATAAACATGCTGTCTAAACAAAAACAAAATGCTTGCTAATGAAAACACAGCTTCATGGCAAATTATCTTTCCATTCCCTTCATTCTTCTTCAATCTTACTGTATTCCCTGTAATAGTTCTATATATAAATTCTGAAGTTTCCACTGTTGGGTAGTGGTATATTAGTGCTTTTATGGGGTTCACATCCTTTGGTATTATAATATAAAAAAAAAGCTTGAAATATTCTTGAAAGTTCTGAAGAAGTACATGGAGAGACATAGATTGTCAAGTTTTTGAATACACAAATTGGACAAATGGTTTAGGGATTACCTGCATTATTGCATACATCTGGGGTTCAGGAGAATGGTAAGTTCAGGGTAGCAAAACTTTCTGCTAAAAATACTGTCTGGTTTTCTATTTTGTCCCTCACAGTTGACACAAATAACAGAGATAATTGAGAGCTAAATCAATTGTCTGTATGCACTTTTGCACATCTAGGAATTATTTCTTACAATAACTTTTGGCATTTTGAATATCTTTTTTTTTTTTAATTATTTGACAGAGAGAGACACAGTGAGAGAGGGAACACAAGCAGGGGGAGTGGGAGAGGGAGAAGCAGCTTCCCACCAAGCAGGGAGCCCGATGTGGGGCTTGATCCCAGGACCCTGAGATCATGACCTGAGCCGAAGGCAGACGCTTAACAACTGAGCCACCCAGGTGCCCCTTGAATATCTATTTTTAAAGTTCAGTTTGAATACTACTAAACTGATACATTTTTAAGCCTCACATGACTGTTTATTTAGGTCAGAGAGATTTCATGCGCGTTACTATTTATATATCCTAAAGACCCCTCAGGCAATGTCAGGCTGTTGCCTGTGGACAGTTTCTTGAATTATAGCACAGAAACTTTAATACCTACCTCAGGAATGATAGGAGTCTTAAATAGGCAGTCATATTTACTAAAGAAACATAGAGTTTTCTTAGATTGTCAACCTTAGTTAAGACAAGAAATGTCGGGGTGATAGAGTTTAAGTGGCTCTTTTCAGATATGCTACACTGATTCTCTATATTTAAGATGCAAAACAGCCTTACAGGAGCTATTTAATTAAGTGAAAGTAAGTCTAGTCCCTTGGAACCGAATAGTTCAGTGAGCAAATACATGTCAGTATGTGAAGGAAGTGGGGGAAGTTACTATGTGCTTCATAGACATGGTGACACTTTATAACCCCATTATCAGGGATCCTAAACAGTGATTGGTTGAGAAAATGATCAAACTGAGTTTAAATTTCAGCAGGTACAAAATTGTCATGCAAAAGTCCAGGACAGTGAGCCTCTCTCAGTCTTCAAAGCGAAAGATGAGAAATCCTGGATTTTCAAAGTCCCTTTGAAGGCTTTTAAGGTAAGATGAAACATCTTCTTTACTCAGAACCAACTGATTCTTGTAGAAATTTTAATTTCAGAGAAGAAGCTGACTTGATTTTAAGAAGTGAATAACCCTTATGATTAGATTTTTTTCCTTCTCTTTTGACTTGGCAAATCAAGACTACGTGTTTAAAAGATAACAGAAAATTATATGGTAAGGGATGCTAATTCCATCTAGCAAAATATTGGATCACTGAAGAACAGGAATTTTTTTTTTACAGCCACTATGTTAAAATATCAGTTGCTAATAGGAAAAGTATATGTAAGATGAAGCAAATATTGTAAATCTAAAATATTAACGAAATGAGTGATTAAGAATATTTTACACATAATTCACGATAGCTCCATTACTGTTATTTTTTATCTACAAAGACCATCTTTAAGAATCTTGAATCTAGTTAAAGACATTTTTTAGCCTTACCATTGCAATATAAGATGTGATGGCATTTAATAAAAAAGTAAAGAAACAAAGAGTAACAATAGTGACATTTAAATACTGACTCAGGAAATAAACATGGATTTGGGAATTTTATTCAACACATTATGGTACATTTACTTCAAAGTCTGGCTAATCCACTCAGAGTTAAGCTCCAAGGGTAGGGCTCATATCTACTTCCAGGGCTCAGTATCTGGTCCACATTTGGTCTTCAAATGTTGAATGAATGATTGCATCCCAGTTTACATTTGATTTTTTGGTCCCTGAAAAATCAACCTTCATCCTAAAAGATCAATTTTTTTTTTTTTTTTTTTTGCCTACTGACATGAAGGTTTTGAAAGCTAGAACAAAATAATTTTACTTAGGTTATCTGGAGATTCTGACCTCTATCACATATTTTTTCTGTTTCATGATATCATAACAGGTTTAGAAAATGAAAGAGGTTTCAGGCTGACAGAACTGGGGCTATTTCTATAACAATCTTTTGAGCTATTTACCTACCTGTGAATACAGTAGCAAGCATCATGGTGCATTGTGCAATTGTTCTGGAGTGGATAGGAAAGAGAACCAAAGTAGTCAGATTGCTGGATTGCAGTTTAGAACGGGATGTGTATAACCATGACCTTCACTACAGGTACATTTCTAGGATACCATGGTTACTCCAAATAAATGTAGACCAGCCTTTGGCAGAGTTTATGTAATAATTAGGTTTGGTACTGTAAAGTACCGTATAACCCCTGCTTACTAAGCAGCTGCCCTTCAACACCTATGCCCCAGAGTTCTGCATTATACTTGTCCTGAGGTCACTTCAGCTTCATTTTTAATCTATAGGATTTTTGAAGAAAGTCTAGCTATTCTTAGCTTTCTACTGAATAGCCATAAAAGTAAGCCTTTTTTTCCTCTCAGAAAACATGTCCTCTGTTCTGTGAGGAAATGCCAATAAAATTCTATGACAGTTGATATTCACTAAGATTTTATTATGTTTCCATTATCAACATTAAATTCAATCAAAGCTATTTTATGACATGCATTATTGTAATCTGTTAACTCAGTGGGAGTTCATGAAATAGGAGTAAACTCTTCCTTTCTGTGGTAATAGTATCATTACACCAAGAAATCCAATTTTCAGTAATAGCAATTTAAATTTTTGATTCACATGGACTATACAATGTCTATTCCAATGTATCAAAATATATATTATACCATTTCTGAATGTGAATTCTTTTTTTTTTTAAGATTTTATTTATTTATTTGACAGAGAGAGACACAGCGAGAGAGGGAACACAAGCAGGGGGAGTGGGAGAGGGAGAAGCAGGCCTCCCGTGGAGCAGGGAGCCCGATGTGGGGCTCGATCCCAGGACCCCGGGATCATGACCTGAGCAGAAGGCACATGCTTAATGACTGAGCCACCCAGGTGCCCCCTGAATGTGAATTCTAACAGGAATAAAGGATCATGTTTCTAGAAGCTCCACATAATAATTGCTATCATTTATAAAGGGATTGCTAAATACCCAGAACACTGCTAGTTATGCTTATAATAATACGTATTTATTCACCAACAATATTCATAAAACATCTCTTTCTGTACTATGTATTCAAATATAGTGATTACCAACACATTCTCCTAGGCTTCAGAGCTCTCAGTAGGTCAGAGGAACATAAAAGTAATCAGGCTATGCTAAAACAGTGCAGTATGCTACCAGTGAGGTTTACAGAAGCTGCTGGGTGTAAAAAGGCTAGAGACACCAAATGGCCTTTGACAAGGAGTCAGAGAATGCTTCTCAGAGAAGATTCTTCTGCTAAGGTAACTGGGATAATCCCAAAGTGTAGGTATTATTATCCCAGATGGAGGAAACAAAGGCTTAATAAAACTACTTAAATTTCTCAAGTTTACACATTAAGTAGCAGAGGTAGAACTTTAACTTGGTCTCTAAATCCAAACTTCATGTTCCTTCCACTAGCCGAGGCTCCTTGATGCTAGTAATTTCTTTCCTTTACAGTGTCCCACAGCCCACTTGTGCGGATTTGGGGTGGGGATGATAAATGATTCATCTTTCAGCGATAATCCTAGAATTAGTTAATACTTGATTAAAATTATTCAAAGGAAATGTTATCACCATTAAGAATAGCAAGACAAAGTTATGGTTGTGTCCTTTGTAACTACATGGCTGTGCCCCTTCATTGGCATAGGCAGAAAAAGTCTAGTTAGTTACTTCAGTGCTGAGCCTGATGATGCCCCCTGTACGTATCTGTGAGCACTCCATATAAAACAGATACAAAATGTGTTTCTTCTGTAACACTGAGTCTTGATAGCCTTCTTCTCATGTTGGATATACACTCCTTGCCCAGGAAAAAGTCAAATGCTAACTGACCAAAATAATACCTTACCATGATTATCATCTTTTGCTTTATAAGTGATTTTGTGCTGTCCTTTTTTCTTTAAAAACAGACTGATTAATATTCCTAAGGAAAATGAAGATAATTATATATTTTTGCATTTGGGCAGCAGCACGGGCTATTCCAGTAAGTATGTATTCCTCAGAAAATCTCCTCACTTTGTTATCTCTTTTAACCTAACATTAAATAATATATATTTCCTTAAGACTTTGAAGATAAGCTGGGCCTAAACATTTAGATTTGCATGAAAGACTTTACAAGATTTCTTTGGGGGTCTCAACAAACCCAAATATGCACTCCAATTCATGCTCCCATTCCTCTAACTGAAACTCATGTCTTGTCAGATGGATTATTACTTTTAAAATTTATTCAGATTGTGCTTGCTCTGGCAGCACACATACTAAAATTGTAATAATACAGAGAATATTAGCATGGTCCCTGCACAAGGATAACACACAAATTTTTAAAATTCATTCAGATTAATTTACATTTAATGCCCAAACGCCATGGAGACTTTAGCCATCTTTGCTCATGCCTTATGAATTTCATTATAATATCAATGAAACCTACATTTTAAAGGAAGTTTTCAAGGAATGAAAGTAGGAAAAAATAAGATTTTTTCAACATAGGAGAAAATGTTTCACTCAGATAATTATTTTTTTAATGTTCATTGAGAAAAATTTGGAATATACAGATAAACACCAACAGAGAAAAAATTAGGAAAATTAAACCATTTGTAACTATGTTACCCTGCTATGGGTAACATTTTGGCATGCTTTCATAATATCAAACAATTTGGTATTTATGCAGGTGAGAATTTTCTCAACTATTTCAAATGTACTCCTGAAGGACAGAAGTAGCAAATTACTTGGTTTTGTTTCTGCACTGGCTCAGGTGATACCTGCTATTTTCTTAGGGGTATGGCCAGGATTATACTTAAGGTGGGTCTTGTGCTAGTGTGGGAGGCTTGTACAGAAATACCAAAGGTCTATCTCCTCATTTTTATAAAAGACAATCCTCTTTGAGATAAATGGTCTGGTTAATACCAATAAAATTGGTAATACCATTGTGAAAAGTATCTCTCTGCCCAGTTTAAATTCTACATAAGCTGTGTAACAAGCTTTATTATATCATACTTTGGCCTTTGCATTATATATGTTTTCATTTAGAGAAAAATGCGTGTCTGTATGTATGCGTGCATGTGTGCATGCATGCATGTACACAAAATTAGAATGTTTTAAATTTCCAATATTTTCATTTTGGTAGGTTCCTCAAATCAAGCCATTGGAGAGACATGCTGTTGACAAATTTGTAAATTTAAATCTTCTAGAAAAAGCAAAAGTGCCAATACAGGTAGGTATAGGATATAAAATATGTTTCTAAGCTGTTTTTAAATTCTTTCTTTCTTTCTTTCTTTCTTTCTTTCTTTCTTTCTTTCTTTCTTTCTTTCTTTCTTTGAGAGAGAGAACATGAGAGAGAGCACGAGCAGGGGGAGGGACAGAGGGAGAAGCAGACTCCTCGCTGAGCAGGGACCCTGACATGGGGCTCCATCCCAGGACACTTAATCGACTGCGGCAGATGCTTAACTGACTGAGCCACCCAGATGCCCCTAAATTCTATTAACTTCCAGAAAATTGATGCTTATCTTTTCAGTTTGTTTTACTTCAATTATTTTGAATTGTTTCTCTTTTCCAGGATGAGTTAAATGCCAATGATACTACCAAAGAGAGTGGTGTCCCCCCTGAAAATGAAAGAGGAAGGCAACAATATACCAAAGATGATTACAAAGAAGAAAGAAATGGCTCTGAGTGGGCAGAAATAGGAGGGAAAAGTTCTTCTACACATTCCATGTTAGTAAATGACGAGGGGAATAGTGAGGATCAATATGGGGTCACAGGAAAACTAGAAACATATGGTTATAATGGGATACACGGAAAAGAAAGTAGCGCCACAACAAATGGCATCAGGGGACAAGTAAGTATCATCGACAATGCTGGAATAGCAAATGGGAGCAATATTAATAGAAATACTGATAATAATGTAAACAATGGAGGAGATGTTGGAGATGCAAGTCAGAGTGAGAATGCCACTGTTGTCCAAGAAGATGACCATCAAATAGCTGGAGGCAATAACAGCACAGGCCAAGAGGATGAAATAAACAGGAATTCCTGTAGAAATGAGGGTGATACAGGTGAAGAAACATCTCAGAGAGAAAATGAGAGAAATGGGAATCAGGAGGCAGGAGTAACACCAGGGGGTGGAGCTAACAATGAAGAAGATGATAATTCTGATGGGAATCCTAGTGGGAATGGAGCAGAGGAGGATGAAGATAAGGGCTCTGGTGATAATGAAGGTGAAGAAACAGGGAATGGAAAAGAGGACACTGATAATAGCAAGGGCCAAGAGGGTCAGCCTCATGGAAAAGATGACAATGATAATAGTTTAGGTCAAAATTCAATTAGTAGTGAAGATGATGATCCTGAAGACAAAGAAGATCCCCATGACATCAATGGAGACAACACCTCCAAAAGTGAGGAGGATTCTGATGGTATTTCCAAAGACAAAGATAGCCCAATAACAGAGGACACGCAAAAGCCCCATTACAGAGAAAACAAAGCTGTGGAAAAGAAAGTCACTGATGAATCAGAGCCAGGTGCTACTGGGAAGAGCCATGATAAGGTTAGTTTGTGAAGCTGATTTCTTTCAATGGCAGTTTAAATTCTCCCCCTCCATTCACTGATGGTAACACAAAAATAAATCATAATGAGCATTCATCTATTTGTGCACCTAAATTACTCAAATATTTAATGGGAAAGTTAGAGTCCTTATTAAACTCTGATACAGAACAATTTTAAGGAAGATTTTATTATTTATTTATTTATTTGAGAATGAGAGTGAGAGGGCACAAGTGTGGGGGGGGGGCGATACAGTAGAGGGAGAGGGAGAAGCAGGCTCCTCGCTGAGCAGGGAGCCTGATGTGGGGCTTGATCTCAGGACCCTGGGATTATGACCTGAGCCAAAGCCAGATACTTACTTAACTGACTAAGCCACACAGGTGCCCCCGGAACAATTCTAAAAACAGACATTTCTGAAAATTTGGTTACAATTCTATAATAACTGATACACCATGTAACTGTTCACACAAGTTCCTACTGACTAAAAATGTGGATGGGTTGTTATATAACCTAAACACTGGAGTTCTCTCAAGTGAATAAAGCACATTCTTACAAACAGAAGTTTATGAAGTACTGGAAGCTGAACTTCTGTTTCTCTGGTCACATTCCCCAGTCTGTCTTCCTCAGACCAATGCAATTTTGCAGCATACCATCCACTAACTAATCATTCTTTTCTCCATCTTTCCACAGGGAATAGAAATGGAAGGTCCCAGTAGTGGCAACAGAAACAATATTACCAAAGAAGATGGGAAATTCAGTGAAGATAAAGAGAGAAAAAGACAACAAGGAATGGTCATGAGCAAAGGAAATGTCAAGACACCAGGAGAGACTGACATACAAGGACCTGGTCAGAAATCAGAACCTGGAGATAAGGTTGCACACAGCAAAACAGGTAGTGACAGTAACAGTGATGGATATGACAGCTGTGAGTTTGATGACAAATCCATGCAAGGAGATGATCCCAACAGCAGTGAGGAATCTAATGGCAATGATGATGCTGATTCTGAAGGTGACAATGACAGCAATAGCCGAGGAGATAGTGGTTTTAACTCTGATGAACCAAAAGATAATGGCAATGACAGTGACTCAAATGGAGGAGGTGATAATGACAGTGATAGCACATCAGATGCTAATGATAGTGACAGTAATGACAATGGAAACAGGAGCGATGACAATGGCAAATCAGACAGCAATAGAGATAAATCAGGCAGTAGCAACAGCAGTGACAGCAGTGATAGCAGCAACAGCAGTGACAGTAGCGACAGCAGTGACAGAAGTGACAGTAACGACAGCAATGACAGTAGTGATAGCAGCGACAGCAGTGATAGCAGCAACAGCAGTGACAGTAGCGACAGCAGTGATAGGGACAGCAGTGACAGCAGTGAAAGTAGTGATAACAACGACAGTAGTGACAGCAGTGATAGCAGTGACAGCAGCAACAGCAGTGATAGCGACAGTAGTGACAGCAAGTCAGACAGTGATAGCAGTGACAGCGACAGCAGTGATAGCGACAGCAGTGACAGTAGTGACAGCAGCGACAGTAGTGACAGCAGCAACAGTGACAGTAAATCAGACAGCAGTGACAGCAGCAACAGCAAATCAGATAGTGACAGCAGTGACAGCGACAGCAGCGACAATGACAGTAAATCAGACAGCAGTGACAGCAGCAGCAGCAAATCAGATAGTAGTGACAGCAGTGACAGTGACAGCAGCGACAGCAGTGACAGCAGCAACAACAGCGACAGCAACAATGATAGCAGTGACAGCAGCGACAGCAGTGACAGTGACAGCAGTGACAGCAGTGACAGCGACAGTAGTGACAGCAGTGATAGCAGCGACAGTAACAGCAGTGATAGCAGCGACAGCAGCGACAGTGACAGCAGCGACAGCAGCGACAGCAGCGACAGCAGCGACAGTAGTGACAGTGACAGCAGCGACAGCAGTGACAGTGACAGCAGCGACAGCAGCGACAGCGACAGCAGCGACAGTGACAGCAGTGATAGCAGCAACAGCAGCGACAGTGACAGCAGCGACAGCAGTGATAGCAGCGACAGTAGCGACAGTGACAGCAGTGACAGTGCATCTGACAGTGATAAGAGTCACAGCAAGAGCAAGTCTGGTAATGGCAACAATGGAAGTGACAGTGAGAGTGAGAGTGAAGGCAGTGACAGTAATCACTCAACCAGTGATGATTAGAAAAGAAAAACCCACAAGATTTTTTTTTGGAGAAGTCTAGTGAATAACTGATAGGAAATGAAAATTTCCAAGACAGGAAAGAAAGGGGAGACATAAACAGAAGATGCCTACATTCATAGAAACAATGAGAGGAATAGTCAAATTGCCAGATTTGGAACCAAGTACCCACACCCTCAGGAAAGAATATGAATGCAGGACCTTTGGTATGTGCATATTAAAACACATTCTGAAAAGATTTTTTAAAAGTGTACATCTAAATATAAAAAGGGACAATTAAAATATTCTTTAATACTTTACACAGAAACCTCAAGCAATCACGTACTATATGATACCTGATTTAAATGTCAAGTGCTTTAGGGAATGTAGTAAGTAAATACATCTTATAAACAACCTGTGGCATTGCCTTAATCTTTCAGTAATCATACATTCTGGATAGATGATCGGCTTACTGCTGAGTAAAAGATGCTGTTACCATGATATCCAGCTTGGCTACTGATTCATTTGCTTGTTCTAAGGAAGAAATAAACTTGTAATATGAAAAAGAAATGCAGCAATGATTGAACCTATCTGGACCATGGGGATAATCTTTGTAATTATTGAATAATTACAAATTCGAAAAAATTTAAAGAGTGCTAGTCAGAAAATAATTCAGAGGCTGGTTTAAATAACAAAATCTGATGTACAGTATTACATTCCTGCTAAGCACCGGAAATTTAGCATAATGTCCCTAAAACTATTGACAAAATTGATGCAGTGTCACTGCATCAATTAAAGCGACTGTCACTACTGTCGCTTACAGTGTCTTGCCTCCAATAGCCACTTTCCAAATATTAATAAACAAATGATACATAAATGAAGTACTCTAAAGGGGGATTTACTTTTTTAACTCTATGTTCAGAGCTCTGCTATGTGGAATTGGTATTTGTTTTCCATCTTAAGTCAAACTTGGTTCACACTTCCCTTTTAAACCCTCATATGCTGAAACTTCCAAATCAGACCCTGAGACACCCTTTTCACTGTTAATCTCTTTAATAAAGCCAACTGTTGCTGGTAGGTAATGCTTTGGAAATTACTCTTTTTTGAGAGTCATATAATGCAACTAAAATCTGAGCATGGATTGTTCCACTTTTGCATGAATGAGGGTAATTCTTAGTTTTGAGATGGAGCCCAAACCCTAGAACATGAGGATTTTAAAGGTGTATGCAACTAGAGTGTGATATTTAATAGGGTGGAGGTAAAATTTATTATCCAAACTAGTATACTTTTGAGAGTGAAGGGGGCGCTATCAATAATTACTTGGGGATAGGAGGTGTAAATTGGGATTGTTCAGGGATACTGGGAGATACAACAGACATTGCCATAAACATTTAAGGTATTTTTCAAGATTTAGTAGAGATGATTTGTAATTTCCCTCTTTTTCCATTTAGGCAGTTATTTTAGATTTGTTCTAATTCAAAGGTAAAAATCTATGTAGTAAAGTTCTGAATGCAACTTGTTTGATGCTAATTTTCAACTAGTCATCAGTTGACTTTTAATATTAGGCATATTTTATACGGAGTTTCAGTAGTTTTTTTTTCTACCTTATTTCTCATTTAATGCAAGTTTCTTAGTTGAGATCAATATTACAAGTAATACTGCTGAAAGCTTTAAAAATACTGCTATTCATAAACTATATGATAACTCATAATACTGTAATATTTCAAGTTTCTACTATATCATAATCATGTAAATGATTCCAAAGTTCTTTCCTTAAAATATGCTCTAGATTTTTAACTCCTTTAGGCTTCAGGATTTTTGTTTTTGTCTTTTTTTAATTTGTAAACTGTGGCTTCTAGTACCTGTTTAACCTATTTTAAAAGGTTGTTATGAGCTTAAGTCAGGCAATGGATGTGAAACCCTTTGTAAATTGTACAAGATATGTAAATTAAAGAGGTAATGAATTTTGATGCTATAATAAACATCTATTTATGTGACTATTCACAAAGAAAATTCCCTTAATCTTAATGGGTTTGCAAGTCCTTATTCCTTCCATCACATTTTAAAAATTTAGCTGTTTTTAACTGAAAAAGTAACATGTATATACACAAAATAAAAAATTTTCAAACACTGTGAAAAGGTATACAAAATATTAAATCTTCATCATCCTAGATTCCTAGTCCTCTACTTCTCTTCTTTAGAGGTAGTTCCAATTACTAATATCTTGTGAAGCTTTCCAGAAATATTCTATGCACATATAAGCACATATGTTCCTCTTTTAAAAACACACGGAAGGGCGCCTGGGTGGCTCAGATGGTTAAGCGTCTGCCTTCGGCTCAGGTCATGATCTCAGGGTCCTGGGATCGAGTCCCGCATCGGGCTTCCTGCTCCTTGGGAGCCTGCTTCTCCCTCTGCCTCTCTCTCTCTCTCTCTGCCTCTCATGAATAAATAAATAAAATCTTTAAAAAATAAAAAAATAAAAAATAATAAAAAAATAAAAACACACGGAAGTCTACTATGCACCGTGTGCTTATCTTCCTCTTATTTTAACATAAGAATATACCTTGAATATTGGTTCATAGCATACAGATTGACATTTTCCCCCCACAGTGGCGTTGTATTTCATTTTATGAACTGCCATAGATATTTAATCTGTCCCTTTTTTCAATCACTTCCTAAGCCATTTCTGGTCCAATGAGTCTCTGCAGGTAAATAGCATGAGTCAATAACCCAAGCTGGATAAATTCCCAACCAGTTCTTATAAAGACTTTACTTGGGGCACCTGGGTGGCTCAGTTGGTTAAGCGACTGCCTTCAGCTCAGGTCATGATCCTGGAGTCTCAGGATCGAGTCCCGCATCGGGCTCCCTGCTCGGCAGGGAGTCTGCTTCTCCCTCTGACCCTCCTCCCTCTCATGCTCTCTGTCTCAAATAAAATAAATAAAATCTTAAAAAAAAAATAAAGACTTTACTTTAGGAAGTATTTGGGAGAATAAAGGAGATGCTCAGAATCTAGGGCTGATGTCAGAAACAATGAAGGAAGACTATGATCCTGCTTTTCTTATATAATATCTACAATGACCTCTGGATCTTCAAGGTAAAAATAAAGGTGACCCTCTAAAAGGACATCTCAAGAGTAGAACCTTTGAATACAAGAAATCTGGTATTAGAAAACAAAATCTGTTTTGTTATTTTCTGGAATAAGATTAGTAAGCTATCTGCTAATATTGCCCATGGGAGCAGTATTTTTTTTTATTATTATTGTTACATTAATCACCATACCTTACATCATTAGTTTTTGATGTAGTGTTCCATGATTCATTGTTTGTGTATAACACCTAGTGCTCCATGTAGTACGTGCTCTCTTTAATACCTATCACCAGGCTAACCCATCCACCCACCCCCCTCCCCTCTAGAACCCTCAGTTTGTTTCTCAGAGTCCACAGTCTCTCATGGTTCGTCTCCCCACTGATTCCCCCCCCTTCATTCCTCCCTTCCTGCTATCTTCTTCTTCTTTTTTAAACATATAATATATTTTTTTTTTCAGTTTTTCTTTTTTTTTTAATTTTTTTATTCTTATGTTAATCCCCATACATTACAACATTAGTTTTAGATGAAGTGTTCCATGATTCATTGTTTGTGCACAACACCCAGTGCTCCATGCAGAATGTGCCCTCCTCAATACCCACCACCAGGCTAACCCATCCTCCCACCCCCCTCCCCTCTAGAACCCTGTTTGTTTTTCAGAGTCCATCGTCTCTCATGGTTCGTCTACCCCTCCGATTTCCCCCGCTTCATTCTTCCCCTCCCGCTACCTTCTTCTTCTTCTTCTTCTTTTTTTTTCCTTAACATATATTGCATTATTTGTTTCAGAGGTACAGATCTGAGATTCAACAGCCTTACACAATTCACAGCACTCATCATAGCACATACCCTCCCCAATGTCTATCACCCAGCCACCCCATCCCTCCCACCCCCCACCACTCCAGCAACCCTCAGTTTATTTCCTGAGATTAAGAATTCCTCATATCAGTGAGGTCATATGATACATGTCTTTCTCTGATTGACTTATTTCGCTCAGCATAATACCCTCCAGTTCCATCCACATCGTTGCAAATGGCAAGATTTCATTCCTTTTGATGGCTGCATAATATTCCATTGTGTGTGTGTGTGTGAGTGTATGTATATATATATATATATATATATATATATATATATATATACACCACATCTTCTTTATCCGTTCATCTGTTGATGGACATCTTGGCTCTTTCCATAGTTTGGCTATTGTGGACATTGTTGCTATAAAAATCAGGGTGCACATACCCCTTCGGATCCCTAAATTTGTATCTTTGGCGTAAATACCGATTAGTGCAATTGCTGGATCATAGGGTAGCTCTATTTTCAACTTTCTGAGGAACCTCCATACTGTTTTCCAGAGTGGCTGCACCAGCTTTCATTCCCACCAACAGTGTAGCAGAGTTCCCCTTTCTCCGCATCCCTGCCAACATCTGTCATTTCCTGACTTGTTAATTTTAGCCATTCTGACTGGTGTGAGGTGGTATCTCATTGAGGAGGTTTTGATTTGGATTTCCCTGATGCCGAGTGATGTTGAGCATTTTTTCATGTGTCTGTTGGCCATTTGGATGTCTTCTTTGGAAAAATGTCTGTTCATGTCTTCAGCCCATTTCTTGATTGGATCATTTGTTCTTTGGGTGTTGAGTTTATTAAGTTCTTTATAGATTTTGGATACTAGCCCTTTAACAGATATGTCATTTGCAAATATCTTCTCCCATTCTGTTGGTCCATCTTTTGGTTTTGTTGACTGTTTCCTTTGCTGTGCAAAAGCTTTTTATCTTGATGAGGTCCCAATAGTTCATTTTTGCTTTTCCTTCCCTTGCCTCTGGTGATGTTTCTAGGAAGAAGTTGCTGCCTGTGTTCTCCTTTAGGATTTTGATGGACTCCTATCTCACATTTAGGTCTTTCAACCATTTTGAGTCTATTTTTGTGTGTGGTGTAAGGAAATG